GCTTGTCAATAATTTACCTCGTTTAAGAAATTGTTCATACGTAGAGCATGCTCTTGCGTATCGAATCAACTGAGATATAAATACTCCGTATGCAGGTGATGAAGGTATATTGCTGCATAAGTAAGGGAAGTTGACGATAGAAAAGTTAAAGTCATCACGTTTATCATATAGCTTGGTTGTTAGATTACCATTAGTGTCTTTTTCAAGTAAAATATCCAAGTATGAAGCAGAAGTGTCGGACTCTGTGGTATCTTTAATCTCAAGCTCACCAGGATATATCGTGTTGACGTAGGAATGGTAATTATCATTATTAATTGACAATACGTCGTCGATATATCTAAATGTCGAGTTGAAGGCCACAGCAAGTGTTTTCTTCTTATCATGTAAAAGATTTTGCAAAAATTCTGCTTCATATGAATATAAAAATAAGTCTGCTAATAACGAAGCGCAATTTGTACCCATGGGAATTCCAATAGATTGTTGGAATAACTGGTCTCCAAAAACCACATAGATATTGTCAATCAGAAACTCAAGCATCTTCTTGATGTCAACTTCAGAGTACTTATGTGTGCAATCAGAATCTGTTTTAACAAAATAATTTTTCAAATGACCAATGACGAGGTAAGTAAACTTACGAGTTCCATTTTTGTTGAAGAAGCAGCTGTCAATGATATTAAAAAAACATGGATTTTAATTTGTCGTGGGGAATTGTTGTGTAAAAAGTTGAAAAGTCGTAAGTTTTTATGCTGTTGATTTTTGTAAAGTCTTGTGATTTCAAATTGTCCAAAAGTTCTTTAGAATTTTTAAGTATCCACATCTGATTTACACCACTTCTTGAATATATAGTTGTACAGAACTCTTGAAGTTTTTCCTTCACTACTGAAAATAATTTAGTGAGAAGTAACGAAAGAGGTTTGGTTGAACATTTACTGGAACCTGCAATGTATCTTTGTAAGGATTCTTATGAAGTTTCGGTATCCAATATATTTAAGGTACTTCAAATTCATTTTGGCTCTGTGGAATATTAAAAGTATTCAAAACTGACAGGAGAATTTTCCTATATATTTCTATATAAAACTTTGGCCAGCCATTGTGACCCCGCCATTACCCCGGGAGACATGATTTGAACAAACTTGAATCTACAGTACCTGAGGATGCTTCCTCAAAAGTGTCATCTTTCCTGGCACAGTGGTTCCTGAGAAAAAAGATTTTTAAAACATACCACCAAATTTTCACTAATTCTCAATTATCTCCCCTTGAATGAAGGCATGGCCCTTTATTTGAACAAACTTAAATTCCCTTCACCCATGGATGCTTTGTGGCAAGTTTGGTCGAAATTAGCCCAGCGGTTCTTGAGAAGAAGTCAAAAATGTGAAAAGTTTACGGACAGACGGACGAACAGACAGACGGACGCCGGACAAAATGTTATCAGAGAAGCTCACTTGAGCCTTCGGCTCAGGTGAGCTAAAAACGTTCGACTGAACTCACAAATCAGTCTTTTTTTTAAAGTTGTTGGTTAATTTAAAGTCGTATCCGAAGTAACGATATTCACGTTCTGTTGTGCTGTTACTACTCGACTCTATGGTGCAAAACTTCCATGTATTGCGTCATTTAGAAAAAAAAGGTTTCTTCTATTAATCACAGGATTTATCAACATGCATAGATATTTTCATTATCAGGTAGGTAGTATTTTGTGTTGGGAAAAGGCTCCTAAACTTTTTTAATCTATTGATAAATAGTTGTAAGTTGGAAATGCATTATTACAATTCGATCTTATATACTTGTAAGTTAATATGAAGAAATATATGGAGATAAGAAACAGTTTTCTATCTCAAAAGTCCATTAAATCTTACGAAATGGAAGCAAAGCAAACACGGATCTCTAAAACATCAGGGAGGGGCGATCACCAACTAAGGGTTTGCTATTCTTCTCTCAAACATTTGATCTACCTCAAAAGTCAGGACTTTTTCTTCATTTTTGATTGAAGTTAATTGACATAATTGGACAATTTAGCAATTGCTATAGTAAACGACGATATCTTCATGTCTTGACTCTCTAGAATGGTACTCAAAATCCTTGTAAACAAGCATTCAAAAGATAATATTGCATTCTTTAAATATCTAAAATGGCATATCATCAAATGTCAAGAGGATATATGCACATAATGTAATCTGGAATCTACACAGGTTTTGCAGATAAAGATTTGCAAACTTACTAATAAATGAACCTTTCTTCTTGTTTATTTTTTTTTTCAGACACATCACGTTGAAAAATGTTCTTCATTTTTATTAAAAATGCACACTGTGATTTGGAATGAAGGATATGGAAATAACGAACATTATTATATAGTCTATTTATAGTCCCTATATAATCTATACAAACGCAAACAGTTCATAACACTACATATTCACCGGATTTTAGGCCGTATTCACCGGAGGGTCAATGCACGTGCAGCGGCATTGTGACGTCACAATCAAAATATCGAATAACGTTGTAAACAATGGTTGCAACGGCCACAGCGAGCTTCGTATCTGAGCAAGAAAACAATTATTCAAACCTATTTCAGGATTAATTTTTCACATCTGGACGTCTTACACAGGCGCGGATCCAGAAATTTTTTCCAGGGGGGTCCACCTCAGTCAAAAAAAAAATCGAAATTTCTTGACAAGCAAAAAAAAAAAAAAAAAAAAAAAAAAAAAAAAAAACCCTAAAATCGCGCAAACGTCAAAAACCTATTTCGTGGGGGGGGGGGGGGGGGGGGGGGGGGGGGGGGGGGGGGGCGCGCGCGCGCGCGACTTCTATTGCTTCAAATCTTTCACTTATCTTACGCACTTCAAACATGTTCACGCTTACAAGAGGGTGTCGTCATACAGCCTTCAATGTCTTATGTATTCAAAACCCGACTATATAATAAAACAATTATGGACTCTTTTGGTGTTGAATATGGTTTGTTATTCACCAGAAAAATATCCATATTGACCTCGGCTTCGCCTCGGTCAATATGAATATTTTTCTGGTGAATAACAAACCATATTCAACACCAAAAGAGTCCATAATTGTATAGTATTCAATCTCAACGTCCATTAAACAAATATACAAAATAAGAACAGAGCAAACACGGACCTCCGAAACATCAGAGGTGGGATCAGGTGCCATGGAGGAGTGAGCATCCCCTGCCGACCGGTCACACCCGCCGTGTGCTCGTTGTCATAATCAGGAAATAACGGAAAAAATCCGTGGTCAATTCAGTGTATAAATAATGGACTAACAATTGGTATGAAAAACGTCTGTCAGCATTTCATTCAATGATAAATTGTATTTGCTGACAAGGTCATTGTATCGACCATAGAATTTACGAAATGATGACTTTAAACAAGACTGTTGATATTCTTGTTTCATCAACTTGCTTGTCAATAATTTACCTCGTTTAAGAAATTGTTCATACGTAGAGCATGCTCTTGCGTATCGAATCAACTGAGATATAAATACTCCGTATGCAGGTAATGAAGGTATATTGCTGCATAAGTAAGGGAATTTGATGATAGAAAAGTTAAAGTCATCACGTTTATCATATAGCTTGGTTGTTAGATTACCATTAGTGTCTTTTTCAAGTAAAATATCCAAGTATGAAGCAGAAGTGTCGGACTCTGTGGTATCTTTTATCTCAAGCTCACCAGGATATATCGTGTCGACGTAGGAATGGAAATTATCATTATTAATTGACAATACGTCGTCGATATATCTAAATGTCGAGTTGAAGGCCACAGCAAGTGTTTTCTTCTTATCACGTAAAAGATTTTGCATAAACTCTGCTTCATATGAATATAAAAATAAGTCTGCTAATGATTTTAGCAATGTAAGACCTTAAAAGCATAATACATGTAGGTTAAAGGTTTGTAAGATTCATAGTGGATCAGAAATTCTTGGCTATAAAATACAAGAAAATGAATGCCACATAAATAGGATGAATGAAAGGATTGTAATACAAATGCCACTTATTGAAAAAAAGAGATTCAAAATTCCAAGCAAATTGTCCATTATCTGAGATATATTAGGCTCATCGAATGACAAAATTGTATTAACAAGTGACTCAGATAGGGCAGGAAAAATCTGTTGAAATAGGAAAATATCAGAAAATTCTTGTAAGAAAATTGGAAATATTTTGTTATATTTAATTGACAAATGGAAATTGTGTTAGTTTTTGAAACTGAAGATTTAAGTATTTTAATTATATATCATGAAAAACTGTTGAAATTGGTTGTATTACTTATTAACAACTTATTTTAAAGGTATATTTCACTAATATTAGAATACATGTAGTCACATCTTACAAATTTTATTTCAAGTTTTAGAATTTGTTTTCCTGGAATGTCATCCAAGATATGCAAAATAAAGAAAGGACAATTATCCGTTTCTTTTTTTTCATTTTTTTTTTAATTTTTAAATATTTTACTTACAATCTCATGAAATGCATAAATAGTGTCTAGAGTGACCGGTTATATACATAAACACCAAAAAAGGTAAATTTTGTCCTTGCTAATCAACCATTAAAACGTCACTAGACACTTATTTAAATTAAAATGGTGAGTGGATATTGCAGCTTAGCAAGATGCCTCTAGAAGATTCAGTGTGTGATGTTTCAGCATCCCTTGCATAAGATCTGAGCAACAATATTGTTATGTTTTAAAAAGTTGATAAAATATGGCACTTATTTGACCTTTGACCTCCTTAAAAAATAAGATGGTCAATTACATTTGAGACAATTTATCTGCCGTGTATCCCTATCAATCAAATGATCCAATACCATACCTTATAATCTGCTGGAGTGCCGAAATTTTTCATAAAATGGAAAACACTGAGGAATTGGGTGTCTTAGAGAACAAACGTTCCCTAATGACCGGTCTTATCCACCGTGAGTACTTTGTAGTGATTAGGTGAAAAGTTATCCAAAAATCAATAAAAAATCATTGTGAGAATCATCATTCTACTATTTTATTGTATTTCATTTATGTTTTCCGCACCAACTGATAAGACTGTTAATGTAAAGTTCCGGTCTTTGATTTGTAGATTATGGCGACAAGGATTACAATGAGGATGATTCCTGCTACAGTAGATCCAATCACTATACCCACTATCTTCCAGTCATCTGTTGTCTGAACCTGTGAATTCAAAATATTTTTATTGTTTGAGCCAAAAATCAAGTTTTTTTTCTGCATTTCTCTTTAATGGTATTGAACGAAAAATTACGAATGTTAAAATTTAATAGTATACAACTAGTAATTATAGACCGTATACATGTAGATTGATTGATTGATTGTATATTGTTTAACGTCCCTCTTGAGAATTTTTCACTCATATGGAGACATCACCGTATGCCGGTGAAGGGCTTCAAATTTAGACCTATACTCGGCACTCAGAGTCATTGAGCAGTGAGGGTTCTTTATCGTGCCAGCGCCTACCGTGACACGGGACCTACGTTTTTAAGGTCATATCCGAAAGATCCGTGACTTTCCTTCTGATGCCGAGCGCTTGGTGAAGGAACGTCACTACACATTTTTACGTCTTAGGTTTGACGCGGCGCCGGGAACGAGAATCGAACCCGGGCGTCCAGATCACGAAGCGAACCCTCTACCACTAGGCTACCGTGAATGGTTCGTGTACATGTAGATGTGTATTCTCTATTCGAGGTTCGCTTTTATGAGCTTTTTTCTTTTGAGTCGGTGTTTTTACGATTATTACTTACTTCTCTGGCTATAAAATTTGTTTCATTTCATTTTCAAAATAAGAAACGAGAAAAAATACTTTATATTAAAGCAAAAGTCATTTTATATCATTAAGATTTTAAATATTAAATTTCAAATCATATAGCATATTACATGTACTTTCGTTTTTGTCTATTCAACATTTTACAGTTGAAAATATTTAATAATTTAATATCTATAACATGTATTGTTTTGAAAACCCCATTTCTTAGGTGACAATACGATATTTGTCCGATAGACGGTGAGGTAATGTTTCATTTTTCTTTATACAGTATAATAAGAGTTCATAAAGTGCACTAACAACGTCGTTAGTGTATGTACTTATTTTTTTTTCATTTTTCTTAAATAATGATAAAATCTAAAGACAACCATACCTTTTCATTTTCTACTTTTTCGCTTTTTGTTGTCTCTTCTTCTTTTCTGGTTATATTTGGGACAAGAAACAAAGGCTGTGTAGACAAGACAAAGTGACATTGGTCAAAATAGCCGTTCTTGTCTGTAATGGTTAAAACTACAGACTGGACACAGCAATGCCCTCTATCGTAGAAAAAATAATTCACATATTTTAACAAATCCTTTTTAGCATACCACTATGAGGGCAATGCAAAAACTCAAATTTTTCTGTATGTACATGTATAGTTAAAACTATAATTATGTCATAACAGGTTTCGTCTGAAGAATTATTTAGTTCTATCAAAAAAATTCAGCATAACCTGATTGATATTGGCAGAGAGAAGTTTGCTTCAGAGAGATTCGAGTGTTCCATAATCACTTCATCGTTGGACATCCTGATTTCGGACAGTCGTATTGTGGCAGACGACACTTTGACTGAACCTGTCCAGTTATAAATAGAACAGTTTCCCGTGTTCAGTGATTCTGTGGGACATATTTCCGGTGCATTTGATACAGTACACTGAGCTCTTCGTGTATCTGACACCTATATCAAGACAGAGTTAAAATATATACTAGCTATTATAGTGTAGGTTTTTTTTAAGTATTCCTTAGTCAATATTATATACTATAAACTTTAATTTGCTTTTACAGAATCAAAATGAGTAGCAAGAACAGAAAAGAATTTTTATATTATCGACTTTATGTAATTTTTTAATTAAACAAAATTGCTAACGTCGAGAAATTTACTTAATATTTGTTAGGTCAAACTCGTCTGATCTTTCTATGACAAATACTCTAGAAATCTTTGCTGGTGCTATTATTATTTATGAAATTCTTAACATCTTAAGAAATGAATTGTTACAGTATCACGAAAATACAGCAACATACAACAGTGATTTTTTATGTTCAAAATTACATTATTCTTTTAAGCTTTACTTACAAAGTATCTTCTTGTCTCTTTTTGAATGACGCCCGTGTAGTTTTTCAGAGTAACAGAAAATTGTAATAATCTATCAAAAAAAGCATGTTGAAATATACTGATTACTTGGAAGTTCTTCTACCTTAAAGATTTATTTCTCAATATAACTTGGCCCCTTGGGGATCCGGATTAGAATAGGTCCTCAGTACCTCTTGCTTGTCGTAAAAAGCGACTAAATGGGGCGGTCCTTCGGATGAGACCGTATAAACCGAGGCCCCGTGTTACAGCAGGTGTGGCACGATAAAGATCCCTCCCTGCTCAAAGGCCCTGAGTGCCGAGCATAGGCCTAAATTTGCAGCCCTTCATCGGCAATGGTGACGTCTCCATATCAGTGAAATATTCTGGAGAGGGACGTTAAACAGTATATAATCAATCATTATCAAAGACCTATATATAATAAACAAATGCTAAGTATTTAAGTTTAATGTTTTATTCGAGTTGGCAGGTATTGTCCACAGTGGTCTACACAACAGCGGGCAGCCGGCAAAATGGCATACCCTCAACATCAACATAAGTTGTGCCCTCCCTGACGGGAAAAGTAGCACGCTGGGTTGACCTCAATCGTGCTACGGACACATTTAACACAAATTGTCTATTTAGGTCACCTGAGTAAACTCAGGTGACCTATTGCTATCCGTTTTCGTCCGTCGTCGTCCGTCGTCCGTCGTTCGTCGTCCGTCGTGTGTCGTGTGTTAACATTTGAACATTTTCAGCTTCTTCTCTGCAACCACTGAACCAATTTCAACCAAATTTGGCACAAAGCATCTATGGGTGAAGGGGAACAAAAATTGTGAATTTCATGATCCCTGCCCCCCTGGGGCCTGAGATGTGGGGCCAAAACCACTAAAATTAATGCAATCTTTAAAAATCTTCTTCTTTACTCCTGGACATCAAGCAGTCAAACTGTTTGCATGATTGTAATCAGCATTGAGTCCTCTACCAAAATTGTGAAATTCATGGCCCTGGGGTCAGGGGTTTTAGTGCTAGGGCGGGGCTAAATAAGTATATCTTCTTCTCTGCTCCTGGGTATTAAATAAACCAACTAAGTACATAGTTATGATGAGCAAGAGTGCCTCTACCAAATTTGTGAATTTTATGGCCCCAGGGTCAGGGGTTCTGGTGTTAGGGTGGGGCTCTATTGATTATATAGTAAAAATACATCATTTCTTTGAAAATCTTCTTCTCTGCCCCTGGGTATTAAATAAACCAAGTAAGTAAATAGTTATGATAAGCAAGAGTGCCTCTACCAAAATTGTGAATTTTATGGCCCCAGGGTCAAGGGTTCTGGTGTTGGGGGGGGGGGGGCTCATTGATTATATAGTGAAATTACATGAATACTTTGAAAATCTTCTTCTCTGCTCCTAGGTATTAAATAAACTAACTAAGTGCATATTTATGATGAGAAAGAGTGCCTCTATCAAAATTGTGAATTTTATGGCCCCAGGGTCAAGGGTTCTGTGTTTGGGGGGGGGGGGGGCGCTCTATTGATTATATAGTGAAATTACATGAATTCTTTGAAAATCTTCTTCTCTGCTCCTAGGTATTAAATAAACTAACTAAGTGCATAGTTATGATGAGCAAGAGTGCCTCTACAAAAATTGTGAATTTTATGGCCTCAGGGTCAGGGGTTCTGGTGTTAGGGTGGGGCTCTATTGATTATATAGTGAAAATACTTTGAATTTTGAAAATTTTCTTCTCTGTCTCTGGGTATGAAGCAGATGAACTACTATATAGTTATGATGCGCAAGGGCCCTAAGCTTGCAGAATTGTGAATTTCAAGGCCCCAGGGTCCGGGGGGGGGGCTCTACTTATATACTGGAAATGAATCAATTGTTTGAAATCTGGTCCTTTGTATTTATAAAACATTTATTTACTTTTTGATAGGCAATTTTAAGGGTGCCTTTTAAAAATTTGTGCAACTTAGGGTCAGGGGTTTATGTCAGAGTGCATTTTTGTTCCCCTACCCTGCATATGGGTATTCAGTAACCAATCTAAGCGACTGCTAAGTTTATTGTTATGATGATCAATGGTGCTCTTTCAAAATTGTGAATGCCATATAGCATCTGGCTTAAAACATGTTATTGAATCAAATTCAATACACTGTAACTGGAAAGTTGTTGCATAATGCTCAGGTGACCTATAAGGCCCGTGGGCCTCTTGTATTATTTTGCTTTAGATTTACATTATATAAGATATAATTTTTAAAGTCAACATCACATATATCAACATCAACCATCACATATATCAACATCAACCACAAAAAGTCAACAAAATCAACAGTTCAATGGTTAAATTGAAGGTGACCATTTCGCCACATAGGCACCGTAGGTGCCCACCGCCACCTGGTGGGGGTAGGCAACTTCAATTTAACCACCCACCATGGACTCGTAGCCTACTCAAAACCCTCAGCAACCCATCCATCGTGAACATCACTCTCTCTCATTTCCAACCCACTGTAGATTTATGCTGCATTAAAATCTGGTTACCCTTCAAATTTTTCGTGCCTTAACCCCCCCTTTCCCTGATTTTATATCTTTCGAAGTTGTATTGCTTTGGGTCTCTATTTCTATTACTAATATCCAGCTATTTTACTCAGTCATAAAGAAAGAACTAACTGGACTAATGTAAGAAAATAAAGTAGAAGATATGTCTTATCTAGATTTATCCCCCCCCCCTTTTTTTATTTATTGGTTTATTCATTTGAATTTTATTTCTTATTCATTTTTTGGTCATTTGAAATAAAAATTTGTAATATACTTTCCTGGAAAGATTACAAACAAGATGAATGAGCACCTATACTCTCTAACCCCCCCCCCCTTCAGGATGATTAAGTTGTTCCTGTATTGTAGACAATAATTTTAAGTGTTCACATTCCCACTCTGTCAAGTGCAGAACATGTTTTGTGATATTTTGTAATGTATCTTGCCAGTTCTGAAGGAATGAGCTTATCAAAGTACTACTTATTTTTTAAATTAACCTCTCCCGAAGACCATGTAAAATTGATTAAATCTTGTATATACTATTTACCTTTCAAGCCAAGAAACACAATTGGGTACTTTGTATTTACCCCTAAGCATTTGTTAATTTAGATGGACTGCACAAGACATGTAAGGCACATATGACTAAAACCTTTATTCTAAATCCCTTTCCAGCTGATACTCTATCAACAAGGCATGATATAACTACACCTTAAGCTTCCTACTTTGGGAATTTTGGGGAGGGACCCCCCCCCCCGTCCTCCTGCAAAAATATGCTATGGAATGGGTTATTAAAATATAGACTTCAAAATTCTTTTTAAGGCTGTAAAAAATAGATTTAAGGATATACGATCCTCAGCCAGGAAGGATAACTCTTAAATTTATAATTTAATTCAAAAAGTATTAAAATAAGGCTTGAAATTGAAATTTTTTCATGCAACAATTTTCATATTATGCGTCTACGTATGATTCAATGCTCTTTAAAGTTTTAACAAACGTTATTTAAAAAGTTGACATTTGTACCTCATAAAATGAAGTAAAACTTGCATATTTAAAAAAAATCATTTTTATTTTAAATTAGCCTTAGTTACTAATGTTTATATGCATGATTTGAAATTAGAAGTGATTTACAATGTATTCTTTGAAAGGAAACACTTCATACACTATGCATTATGAAACAATGGAAGTAAGAAGGAGAGAGTAAAGTCCAAATAATTGTAAAATTCATGCAATTTTCTTTAAAAGCCTGGATACCTATGATTTTTATTCCTAAAATGTATTTCTTGATCAATTATCAATTAAAAAATATGCAGTAGGTAGTTCAAATCGCATTTCCTGAAAAATTATTCGAGATTTACTAATTTTTCCTATATAATATGATTAAATTTAAAGATGAATTTTCAAGAAACAAATGTGGGTAAATACATTTTAATTTGAGAATTTAGAGACATCTTTGTAACCTTTTTCAATTTTCTCAATGCCTGATTTTCAGAACCTGAGGATCGGATAACCTTAAGATAGAGAGCATGAAAATTAATATGCTAAGTTAGTGTAAACCTATCCTTTCTATAATAATAATCTATGGTTGATCCGTGGATCACGTAAGCCGGGTTTAAACCCCAGTTGAGTCGGGTTTACCTGAGTCGCATTTCTGTTGCACGCTATAAAACTGAGTAAGGTTTACCTAATCGTGACTTACTCGTATAAAATGTTGAAGGATAATAGGTTTCCCAATATTACATCACTTTAAAACAAGTTTTAATACTAGTAAATGGTTGAAAATTAAAAGATATATTTACAAAAAATAATGATATATATTCATGTTAAATTGTAAATTGTTAATGCTGAAAAAATGCAATATAATTTACATGATTTAATTCAAATCACGGCATCTTTCATCGAAATTCAAACCATAAGAAAATATAAAAACGCAAACAGAATACAGCTTTTGCAAAAGACTGAAGAGAAGAAAACGATGGATGGGGTCTTTGGAATAAGTAATTTAGAAACAAATTCAAAATACAATACATGTATATAGGTAAATGATAAAGGGAAAATGTATAAATTTAGATTTTTAGTTTAAAATCGAATGAAAAAAAAAACCTTATAAGACATTATTTTTGATAAAATACTTATTATTATCTATGTTTTCTGTAGAATTTTATACAGCGACAAAATTATAGGGGACGAACATACCCTTCTCCCCCTTGCCCGGTACCTCCGATCCGGCCCTGTAGATAGCCTGATTCATTGATAACTGAAAGACTTTTTATCCTCATAAAATTCGGCATTATTATTAATTATTAGAATGTGTATCATCAGCTGTTCGAAAGTGTAAAATTCGTAATTTGATTTAAATTTCGTTTCTATAAAATTCCTGTTTATGTACATTTATGCATTTAAATTAAAAGCATCTTCCAAAACTTTATATTACAGCTAAATCAGTGTTAAAACAGCACATTGAAAAGTTGTTTAAGAGGTGTGCAAAAAGAAAAATCAACATGCAACATGGCCAAATAATTATTTTGTAGAATAGCTTTTTTTATGCTGCAAA